CTTTTTTATTATTACACAATAAGTATTAATATTATTATGATATATATCAATTTTATTATTTAACATAATACCCTTTGTAGACGCAGTTGAAAAACAGTTAAATAATAGTGAAGGCCTTTAGAAGAAATAAGTGCTGTACAATTGGGTAATAGGGTCAGTTAACAGGTGAACGATTTTGTAATAGTTTTAACAGATCATCCAAGCCAAATGAAAGTTACAGGATGTTGCTGTTGCAATGATCTTAAAACCTGCATTTGCTAAAGAAATACCTTTAAAAAAATATCTTACTTGCATTACATTGCATAATTAATTTAGATTTACTTTCAATCCATTACAACATATCATATTAACATGCCTGTGGGAATTCCATGGTCGCAGAGGTTCCGGTTTCTTTTCCTTCATCTGAAAACAAGTTTATTGTTAAGTGCACACTGTACATAATTATTGTTAACCAATTTCCACTAAGCTGAGTGATCACCTAAGTGAACTACAGCCTCTTGGTATCTTTCTTAGAACACAACAATTTGGTTTATCAACAGAGTTGATAATGTAAATTATTGACCACTGTACAGAGAATTAAAAGGTGACGTTTCGAGTGTTACATGTAGTAGAGCAAATTTGGATTCACTAGGACGAAGGGCTAATGCTGGAAACATCAGCTTCTCAAATTATCTCTGTTCGGTGGTCAATTGACATTTAATGATCAACTCTGTTCATAAACCAAACTTTCATGTTTCACTCCCCCACTGATGCAGTACACGTACTACAGTTTCTTTAAAAACTAACCTCTGTTGCTTCTTAAACATCTGCCAACTTCAATTTTTGTTGACAGAAATCTCTCTAAAACATAAAATAGACCTGGTATATATGGACATGTTCAAAGCGTTCGATAAAGTGAGTCATCGCCGCCTGAAACACAAGCTGAGCCAGTTTGGCTTCGGTGGTAGCCTCCTTCAGTGGCTTAGCTCTTATCTAACAGACCGTCTCCAGTGTGTGACAGCACTCGATGCTACATCCGATCCCTTACCCATCACAGCAGAAGTACCCCAGGGTTCCATTCTTGGTCCAGCATTGTACCTTTTATATGTTAACACTCTCTCGGATGCAGTTGCAGTAAGTCATGCAGCCATGTTTGCTGATTACACGAATCTGTACAGTGAAATTGGCGGGCTTGTAGATGTGGACTGCTTACAAGCCTACCTGGACCGCTTGGACGCATGGTCAACATACAGCATTAAAGGCAAACCCTTTGATGTGGTCTTATGTCCGCGGGACATAGAAGTAATCGTCTTCAACAGTCTAACATGGAATAAACAAGCGCTGGAATACCTTGCGTGCCAACAAGCTGCTTGGATACGTAAAAGTAAACACAAGATACGTCCAGTCCATAAACGTTCGCAGATCAATGTATATTACTCTAGTCAGGCCTCTCTTTGGGTATGCCTCGTAGATATGGGTCCCACAAACAATAGACCTCATTTGTAGAATTGAACAAACACAGAGAACTGTTAGAATTTGGAACTGTCTTTCCGATGACTGAACTTAACCTTACCGTGGACAATGTTAGCTCTTTCAAATCAACCATGCTAAATTAATTAGTACCTTTCCGCTTTAATCTACTACGACTGTAATAATCCTCGCAATAAAAGCAATAAAACTGTCTGCCTGAAAGGTAACACTGCCATAGCCTATGCCATCCTACGTCATGCTTCCAGTAACCTTTTGTATTATTATCTAGTTTTTATATTATTTTTATCCAGCAATATTTTGCAATCCTCATTTAAATTTAATTTTATAGCTCTGGTAATTAGCTTCATGCTGTTGCGTTTGCCCTGCAATTTTTTTGGTGTGTAGGACATGGCGAAGCTAATAAAATAATATAAAAGAAAATAAGTTACGCACCATGTTTTCAAAGCTCCACTACCCAAGAACATTGGTCGATTCCACCATAAATAAGTTCGGCCAGGAACTAGATAAAGAAATACACACCGTGCCTTCAGCAGAGCCATCTGTTTACATAGCTTTTACATAGTAGTGCGTCAACATAGTTATTCTCTGGTAGCTAAGATCGATGTTAACGTAACATCCGTCTTTACAAGTAGAAAACTGTCACAAAGTCTAAGTGTCAAGGAAAACAAGCCCCCCGATCGTGTATACTTATGTCAATGTGATTTGTGTGACGCAAATTATGTCGGATCGGGTTTGTGCACAATTTTTTCCTTCAACTTTACCGGAGGTGTACCACTGTCCATAATTTTATACCAGAAACGTTTTGTAAACACAACTGTTATAATCAAAGGTTATGAAATCGAACTTTTTCGGGCACTTTGTTCACGAGTTGGAAATACGTGAATGATGTTACGATTTCAGCAATTGTTCCAGCATGCGGCTGAAGACGGAATTCGATTTTTATCAGCTATAGGGTTGCTTCTCAATCCCAGTATAAAGTTCTAAGATTCAGGATGAAATACCGTAAATCCTCGAACTAGCGCCACACTTA